AGAAGATAAAAAAATATTCTCTCTTTATTTTTTATTCTCGTACTTGAGAGAGGGAAAAATGAAAAATTTGTATTGAAAAATCCTGCACAAAAAAAAATATTGTATTTGTTTTTATCTTTATTTTTCTTATCTCTCTTATACATTAGAGAGTAAAAAATAAGCTATATATTCCTTAATCTAGAAGTCGTATATATATTATTGTTTCAATACTTTATTTAATGATTTTAATTACAGAAGTAATTTTATAAGATATTAAATTTATTAATTGAGGTGGTAACATGTAACATGTCATTCGATATTAGTGTAAAACTTTTTTTACCACAACAATACATTATTTATCATTTTACAAGAAGCTTGTGGAGATGTGAACATTATTGTGTGATTCATTTTACAGATTATCGCCTTAAGTGCTTCCGCTAATAAGCTATCAAAAATACAAGAAAGAGCGGAGGAATATGCAGCCCTTATCATGGAGGAGTTGGATCCAGATAACCTTGGATACATTGAGGTTTATATTCTATCCAATTGAGCCTGTTTTCATTGTACAACAATCATAACAATAGTCTAATAAAAAAAGTCCAATGAAATGAGCCCAAGGCTTGCTTTAAAACTGGCCTTTAAGGGGGGGAATATTATTTAATTTAATTTAATTTAATTTTCCCTTCAAACATGTCACTTATATTCTATTTTTGCATGCAGATATACAACTTGGAAATGCTACTTTTGCAAGCCCCAGCACAATCAACCCACATAACCACGGATAGCCGTATTATGAGTCAAATGCTGAGCCAAAAACTAGTCCCAACCAAAGAGCACAACCCCATCAAGCGTGGCTTAAGGGCACTGGCATACTTCGTGGAGGACAATTGGAAACGGATTTGGATCATTGCCCTCTGGCTTGCAATTTGTGCTGCCCTTTTCACTTGGAAGTTCATCGAATACAAGCACCGTGCCGTGTTCCATGTCATGGGCTATTGTGTCACATCAGCCAAAGGTGCTGCTGAGACCCTCAAGTTCAACATGGCCTTAATCCTTTTACCTGTATGCAGAAACACCATCACTTGGCTCAGAAGTAAGACCAAGTTAGGCATGGCCGTTCCCTTTGATGACAACATTAACTTTCACAAGGTACACTTACTTATAATAAAACTTACATATAGTTCTGTAAATATCGTTGCTGATGTTCTTCATAAGTATTGTTCCTTGTTTAAAATCAGAGTTTTATCAAAGTATATAATTAGTATTTATATTTAATAAATTTTTTTAATTACTCCTAGTTAGCTAATAATTAATGACATTGATGGTGTCACTTTGGTTTAGGTGATAGCTTTTGGCATTGCAATTGGGGTTGGGATACATGCTATTGCCCATTTAACGTGTGACTTCCCAAGATTGTTGCACGCAACGGACGAGGAATATGAGCCCATGAAGCCATTTTTTGGAGAAGAGAGGCCCAATAATTATTGGTGGTTCGTGAAAGGGACAGAGGGATGGACCGGGATAACCATAGTGGTGCTTATGGCTATAGCCTACACTTTGGCTCAGCCATGGTTCAGACGAGGCAGGCTCAACCTCCCTAAACCTCTCAAAAAGCTAACCGGGTTCAACGCGTTTTGGTACTCTCACCACCTTTTTGTCATCGTCTATGGACTTTTCATCGTTCACGGATACTACTTGTACCTTTCCAAGAAATGGTACAAGAAAACGGTATGCATGCTCTCACTATATTATATCCTCGTTTTCCTTTTATTTTTCTTCACATGAAATTTTGTTCTTATGTTCTGAATTTGGTCACACATTTTATTGCCACAGACTTGGATGTATCTTGCAATTCCCATGATACTATACGCATGCGAACGATTACTTCGTGCTTTTAGGTCTGGCTACAAAAGTGTCAAGATTTTGAAGGTACACTAATTGAAAAGATTTAATTAATTTCAATTTTGCATTTTGCTACTAATGAAGATATGAGAATACTAATTTTTTTTTATGCTTTTTTTTAAATTCAGGTTGCAGTGTACCCAGGAAATGTCTTGGCCTTGCACATGTCTAAACCACAAGGGTTTAAGTACTCTAGTGGACAGTATATTTTCGTTAACTGTTCAGATGTCTCCCCATTTCAATGGTAAGTGAACATTCCTTTTCTTATTGTTTTTATTACACACATTAATATTAAAATGAGGAGAGTGAAGTTAACAATGCTCACAATTTTGTTGTGGTATCTGTAGGCATCCTTTCTCTATTACTTCAGCCCCGGGAGATGACTATGTAAGCGTTCACATACGGACTTTGGGTGATTGGACATCACAACTGAAGGCTGTTTTCGCCAGGGTACAAACACTTTTCTTCATTATGCTAATGATGTTATAATATGTAGTGTTAGTTGAACCTTCTCCTCAAATATGTTCATGGCCTAAAAAATTTGCCATGTTTATTGATACAGGCATGTCAACCAGCAAGTGGTGACCAGAGTGGTCTTCTAAGGGCTGATATGTTACAAGGCAACAACATTCCAAGGTAAGTTATGAACTAGAGACAACGATTTTTGGACAAAATTTAGGTGTCATTGGTGATGTTTTTCAATCAGAGATTAAAGTTGAAATTTGATCTCAATAATGTGTGTAATTCTGATTGAAAAACGATACCAACAATACTTATGATACTGAATCAAAGTTTCATCTATGGTTTTAGTACTTAAAACACCAAATTGATTCTTTACTAATTCTAGTGAAATTTAAATTAATTGTAGGATGCCAAACATTTTGATTGATGGTCCTTATGGAGCCCCAGCACAAGACTACAAAAACTATGAAGTAATCCTTCTGGTGGGTCTAGGAATTGGTGCCACCCCTTTGATTAGTATACTGAAAGATGTGCTAAACAACATGAAGCAACAGAAGGACATAGAAGAAGGGATGGTAGAGAGTGGAGTTAAGAACAAGAGGAAACCCTTTGCCACCAACCGGGCCTATTTCTATTGGGTGACTCGTGAGCAAGGTTCCTTTGAATGGTTCAAGGGTGTGATGGATGATGTTGCGGAGTATGACAAGGATGGAATAATCGAGCTTCATAATTATTGCACAAGTGTGTATGAGGAAGGAGATGCTCGATCGGCTTTGATCACAATGCTTCAATCGCTGCACCATGCAAAAAGTGGTGTGGATATAGTTTCGGGGACAAGGGTGAAGACACATTTTGCTAGACCAAATTGGCGCAGTGTTTTTAAACATACTGCACTTAAACACCCTGGCAAAAGAGTTGGTAAGAACTAGTACTGATTTTCTCTTAGTTAATTTAATTGTTGAATTCATGTCATCATGTCTTGCTTAAGCTCACAATGCTTCAATCATTTCCAGGTGTTTTCTACTGTGGGGCGCACGCACTGGTTGGAGAACTTAAAAGGCTTTCTCTCGACTTTTCTAGAAAGACCAACACTAAGTTTGATTTCCATAAAGAGAATTTTTAAATTCTTTGATCATAGTTCCTTTTTTTTCTTCTTTTTTTAATTTTTTTTTTAACCTGTAACGTATGTAGTTAAGGGAAATTTGTTGGTTATAGTTTGTTGGGTTCTTTTTGTATTAGACCTAGGTAGATAATTAAGCAGATAGCTGCATTCGATATATTGGAGTTGTATACATGTATAAAAAAATTGTATTCAATTTGAAATATAAATGATAACTTCGATAACATTCATACCATCAAAGAAATCAGTAAAATATTTATTGTAACACATAACAAACAGTTTTATTAGACAAGCTAAATTCTGTTTTGAATATATAAAAAAAAAAAATACAAGTACGTGTAAGAAAAGAAATAAGAAGCTAAAAAAATCAACTTAAATATTTCAACTTTTAAAAAAGTTAGATGACAGATATAAGAATTAAGTATTTAAAATTTTAGTTATGAGAACGGTACAATTCATTTAGCATATTATTTCTTCTCTTATAAGTATTTATTAAGAAAAAAAAATATCCAAAGAGAAACTTCACAACATACTTCACCAAAAAGAAAGGTGAACAGTGAGCACATTATATATTATCAACAAGTGAAAGATGAAATTTAATTAATTAGGCATTTACATTATCATCTAGAACTAGAATACTTGGAAAATTGAAAACCCAATACAGAATTTTTGGAAAGCTCATTATAAAAGTATGCATATTAATTTTTATGAAATTGTCATTTTAATTCTTTAAATACATTCTACATAATATTAATGGACCAATTCTAGTTAATCACAATGGGCAGAAGCTCTATAATTCACCAGGTGGCCTTTGGGAATAAAGGCAAGCCCAATCTACAATTCTAAAGCTGGATTTTTATATATTATTTCACCTCAAAAAGATAAGAAAGAGAGAGAAGGTGAAAAGGCATCAAATGCTTTATCGATAAGTACCCAGAATTCATATTAAATTTTGAATGACACTGAACCGAGAAGAAATTGTGTTTGATAGAACTTAGAAGACCCTTCTGTTACGTCATGTTTATATTATTAAACAATACCTATATGGGTATGAACTTTCATAAACGTGACAGATATATGTAATTAAGAATTTAATAAAAATGTAGCAGTACAGTAGTAACTATGATCGTCATTTAATGCCTTTATTTTCTTTACCAAAATGGGATCAATTTTGCTTTTGAATTTATTAAACCATTACCTTAGTCTCTCAAGTCAAGTATCACTCTCTTCTATTTAGTTCCTACAAATATTCAAATTAAAAGAGTAATCTCTCAAGTATTTAATGATTATCTCTTAATCTTGTGAGTTACGTAGTAATATATTTCATTAAGGGATCAATTTGATGGACACGAAAGAATACTTATTGTGATTTTTAATGCTTGAAGGAGTATTTATATATATTACTTTAACTTGTTATGATTTTAAATATTGAAGCAATTTTTAAAGAAATTTTACTTTACTTAGTATTAGATTAATTTAAAACGAAGTTTTAAGATATGGGTATAAAATAAAAACTTTTTAAAATAGAGTAGAATAGTTTAGTGAATAAATTTCCCTACCCTCTTGATATCCAAGAATTTGTCAATAACCCTTCTGTCCCCGCGATATTTCCTTCATCTTTCGTGTGGTTCTTTCTTTGGTAAAATCCTCATTCTTACTTTAATGTCAAAATCTTAGAGCATCATTCGTTCCTTAGCTTTTTAAGCATTCCCACCCGCTTCAAACCACTCTGCTACACAACTCAACCATCCTTGGTTTCCTTCTTCCTAATGGCCGCAACCGAAGTAAAAGTCGAAGCTAAAGAACCAGATCAAGAACTCTTAGAACCTCTCATGTGCAAGGTAAAGTAAGCCATCAATTATTCTCTCATTTATGTATTCGCTCCACCATATTCTAATTACTAATCCTAATACGCCTCTGTTCATCAGAGCTGCGTGTTGAAAGTCTCCATTCATTGCCAAGGCTGCACAAAAAAAGTCAAAAAAGTCCTACAAAGCATAGACGGTATGTATAGTAACCATGTCCAAAAGCTAACATCTTTCATTTCACAACTCCATATTAAAACTTTCTTAACTATTCTCATATTATGCATTTTCCTCGTTAAACCAGGTGTTTATTGCACGTCAATTGATTTGAGGCAACAAAAGGTCGTGGTAAAGGGAAACGTGGACAGCGACACTTTGATTAAGAAATTATCAGAGACAGGGAAGCGCGCTGAGTTGTGGCCAGACCAACCCGAACTGAAGAAGAAGAAGAAGAAAAAGAAAAAGAAGAAGAAGAAGAAACCAGAAAACAAAGAGAAACAAAGCGACCAAGATAGCAGTGAAGAAAGCAACCAAAGCGGTGGCGACGACAACAACGAAAAGGAAGCTATTAAGGTTGTCGTTCAAGACACGCCCAAAAACGCCGAAGGAAGCGCAACCGGCTTAGCCGGTGTTCAATTCCAAGACCCCAGGATGGAGGTGAGGCAAACCGTGACGTTACCACCCGGTTACCCCTCATCCATGGGCGAGAAAAGGGTTACTATAGCCCTCCCAGGCATGGATGAGAACGGAGGAGCAATCGACGGTGGGAAAAAGTCCAAAAGCAAGGGGCAAAAAGGGAATGTGATGATCAACGGCAACGAGGGTGTCACTGTTGCGGAACACTCTGGTGGTGGTGATTGGAACCAGAACCAGATGCCCGGTAATGGGCCGGGTCCAGCTTCGGTTACGATTGTGGGCCCACCTAATGAGAGTTCCCCACGCCATCAGTACCCACCGCACTACCATGCACCGGCATCTCCGGTCTACCACGCACCGTATCCCACTGTCACCCGCTACGGTGCAGCGTATTATACCTCCCCTCAACCGTATTCGTATGCGCACGTGTATCGATGCGTTGGCTCCGAGTCTGACTCGGAAACTCACACAACGCCTTCACCACCCTCGTATTCGTTCGAATTATTCAGCGATGAAAATCCTAATGCATGCTTTGTCATGTGAGAGGGATTGTCACGGAATTTCAACCACCCTAACTAACTTTCTTTTTCTGGTTAGTTGATTACTATTATTATTATTTATTGCATTAGCTTCAAGCATGAACACTGGCTTTGTCCGTTTCAAATATTCTTACTGAAGAATTTCTTTTTCTTTTTTCTCTCCCCAAGTGTCGAATCTCGTTTAGAACTTTATGAAAATACAAATTATTAGGGGCAAGAGGGGATAAAAAAAAAAATGCTGATTTTAATTTTATAATTTGATTGGCTACTCAACGAGTCAACGTTCCCATTTGCTTATTATTATGGCGGGAATATATGTATATTCGAGGAGTGATTATGTTATGCATTTATACTGTTATATTCAGCCACGTCCCTCGATTGCTTGTTGGGGACGAAAACAGTGGGTGGATCAAACTTTTTGGGGAATTTTTTAAATCGGAATAAGATTCAGCTATAAAAAAATCAGAAATGGATTGAAATTATTCAAACCACACGAATGCCTTCTTTAAATCTGAGAAAAACTCTTTTTAGCTTTGATTCCCATGTCAACTTGATGCTTTTGGGACATTCACGTATTATCTTTTAGCCAAAGAGAATTTGCGCGAATTTATTCTTATTCTTTCATAATGCAGTCATGGTGGAAATTTTAAGTTTTGTGATAATTCGCTTACGTTATACGGTTTGTTTTTTTTTTTGCGAATTAACTTGCTGCTATATATGAGATCACATATATACATGTTTAACGAAATTAACTTGAGTAGTTTGATTATTTGCTAATTTCTCAAGATAAACTTGATTAACATCAGAATCATTTAGGGGGAAGGGATTGTGAAATTAACTAAAGGGAAGAAAAGAAGGGGTCCCATTCCCATATGAGGCACTATCGTATGTTTGATTATAGAGACAAAAGCAAGGTTGATGTCATTGGTTTTAGCTTTAACCTCTTTCTGCCTTTTGATCTATCCGATTCCTATCTTTTGTCAATCCGATTAGAAAAGAGAGAAGCAGATGGAATAGTCTAGACAGTCTTATAGATGAAAAGATTCACCAAGAATCGTAACATCCAAGCTCACCTACTTTAACTTAAGCATCACTATCGAACTAGCTTTCTCGCGGATTAAAGATTGTACACTATTATTTATTTATTTTTTTTATAGAATTGATTTTACACTAACACTTTGTTTGATTGCCGTGAAATAAAAGTAAGAGAGAAATAGTGAAGACAAGAATATGGAGAAAAAAAATAACAGAATTTTAAGTTGTTTGATTTTGGAAAAATAAAAAAGAAAGAAAGATAATATTGTGAAATTATTTGGTTTTAATGAAATGAGACAAAATAAATTAATTACGAATAGAGATATTACATTTAACTTTTAAGGCAATAAATTAAAAATGTGATACAAGAAAACTCCAATTTGGTTCAATCAATTAAACTGATAAAGTTTGAGAGCATAAACACATGCGTCAAAATGATTCATGAATTATTTAGGAGTTTCAATTGTTTAGAATGACAAATTATGGAACACGAATACACAAGTCTATGTTTCAATTGATTAATTATGGATTTCAATCAAATAAAATGATAGACCAAGGAACATGAGCACAGCCTCATGTTGTTTATTCCATTATTTACGAAATTCAATCGATTAAAATAGATGTTCAACAAATAAACATAAGATGACCTTCTTACTGATAAAGAAATAGGCGGGGTGGAATGAAAATAAATAAATAAATAACTCAACAATTCTTAAGGAGACCTCTTGATTTTGTTATAGCTATCTTTTATTTTTCTTTATTGAAATACTTTCTTTTATCACTTTGAGCCACTCAAACACAAAACTCAGAATTTGAGTTCTTTCAAACATTTTTTAAAACGTAATATAGTTGCTAGATTTGTATAATTTTAAGCACATAAATCAAAATAATTATAGAAATATTCATAATTTAAATAGTTATTTACTCCAATTTCGTTAGAATATCATAAATTTAGGATGTAATTAGCTTAGTCGTATCCTAGGTTCTAATTACACGTACCAAGAGTCCAAGACATTAATTAAAGTTATCTACAATTTAGTTATTTTTGTACTGATTAAATCTGACGGTTGAAATACTTTGACGAGCATTGGTGCATTAGTGTCAAAATATGGAGTTGACGTTGAGCGACAACGCTCTCAAAACCTTTGCTCGATGCATCACTTGTCTCGCACGCATCGGAAACGAGCTCGCAATTCAAGCCTCTTCCTCTCAGGTAGCAAACCATAACGCGCCTCTGCAACTCTCTCGTTTCACAATATCTCTATCCAAACATTTTAGTTAGGGTTTTGCAGACATAATTAGTACTCTCAGGCGAAATAGGGAATGTTGATTATTGATTGTTTACTGTTTAGTTGTAATGACTATTTTTTTGGTTCATTGATTCGTTACAGCTTCTTTTCCATACGATTAATTCGTCGCGTTCTGCGTATCAATGCATCGCTTTCAAGCCTGGCTTCTTTGATGCGTACACGGTTTCTGGTAATCTCGTGCAATGTAGTGTGCTTCTGAAGGTGCGGAATGGTCTTTTCTCGCTTTAATTTGAACGAGGTTTGCAAATGAAGAATTCTCACTCGCGTACTTTGGTTAGGCTGTTTGTGCTGTTCTCAGGACACCTATTGCAAATATCGATCACTTGACTGTGAGACTGCCTGATCCAGATGCTCCCAAAGTGCAGTGGATTTTGGATTGCTATAATGGTAAATTTCTTATTTAATATATACTCAATATCTGGTGGTTGGTCAACAAGGGGAAAGTTATAGTACCAGAGATTTCTATTGGATTTAATTTTGGTTAACATTGGGGACTGATCATTTAGTTGTCTTTGTAACAAGCTTGATGATGTAGTTGGCTTCTGAATTAAAGTTAGTGATGGACATTCAGTGTCTATCAATTAACGCTTAGTAAGAACAGGGAACCTTTATTTATTCTCTGAAATGAATGGATAAAATTTACAAAGCGAAGACTTTCAATGGTGTTCCTATGCAGACACAATGGAGACTTCCTTTCCCAATTATTCTCGGAAAAACTAGAATAAATTAAATGATAATTAACATATCCCTATTTTATAGGTTTTCCTTCTGCGAGGGTAAACCCGAGTTATGGGGGTGATGTCTCCTAAAAGTTAGCTACATTTTATACTTGGTACCGTAGTTGTTACCATGTCATTAGGCATGCTATACTGATGATATCCCCTCTTTTTTAAGTGGGCTCAGAGTAACATTTAATGTTAGCTAAGCCTTGTCATAAGCACTTAGGAGTTTGTTACAGCCCATGACTAAGATCGTATTTAGATAAGCTTCTTCATAAACACTTATGGAAAAAGAAAATAATATGGAAAAATAAAAGAAGCTTCACTAATTAGCTAATTTTAGTTTATAAGAAAAGCTTATTTAACCTTATGTATAAGTTAATTTTAGTGTATGAGAGAAATTTATTTCATTTTACTTTCTTGTAGAAGTTTATCCAAATAGGGCTTGGATGTAACTCCTTCTGGAGATTTTGAAGTTTGTTGTAGAGGAAAGTTCTAAAATTCTATAGTAGCAAACTTTTCTGAAATGAACTCAAGTGCATTTTTGTAACTCTAATCCTTCTCTGGACTTGAATATCTATCAATAATTGGATGTACTATGTACATGGTGTTTGGCATCTCATTTATGCTGCTATTTTCTCACCATTTAACAATGTGTGTGTGTGTGCACGTACATGCTATTTATTGTGGATTAAAAGGGATATGTTATTCATTAACTGCAGGCATGAGAAAAGCTTATTGGATTACTTGCAATGTAGAACCTGACATACAACACTTGTCCCTTGATAGGCAAAAATTTCCCAGCAACTTTGTTGTGAGGCCTCGAGATCTGAACAGGTTACTTGCTAATTTTCAGTCATCTCTTCAGGAGATCACTATCATTGCAACAGAACCTTCTTCTCTACCTCCTGATGCTGCAAATGAAGTTGGTGGAAAAGCAGTTGAACTTCGGAGTTATATGGACCCAACCAAAGGTAAAGAGGATGCTTTTGTAGGTAGCTTTATTGCAAAGTGTATATTTATGCATTAAGATTTCATGGCAGACAATGATACGTTGCTGCACACCCAACTCTGGATAGATCCTAAAGAAGAATTTTTGCAGTATGTTCACACTGGAGATCCAATAGATGTGACGTTCAGTGTAAAAGAACTGAAGGTATAGTAACCAAGCCTTTTGTTTTTGACTTTTTGGTTGACAGGTAAGTTCAGCAACTGTTTTTAGAGATTGCAGTCACCTAATATCAGGTTTTTTTTAATAATTATTATCATTCAGAATTTTTGTTATTCTTTCTTCCATTCTAAGGCTAATTAACTTGTTGAAATGCACTTTGGTATTTTTCTCATCAAATTGCAGGCATTTCTTTCATTTTGTGAGGGCTGTGAAGTTGATATTCATTTTCATTTTGAGAAAGCTGGCGAGTAAGATGCATTTAGTATCTGATACAAATTATCCTCAATGGCATAGATTGTTCTATGAATATGACTTCATGCCTTCTATTTTAGGATATGCATATTTCTTATAGGTCAGTGACTCAGTGTACATGTCACAGTCTATTAAACTCCAAATAGAACTGAGCAAATGTGAAAAGTTGCAAAGACACACTTGCCTTGGATTTTACTGTGGAGAAACATGCTATGCACATACACACTCACACCGAAATAAAAGACCTATTTTTCTTGCATTCTGGATTTTATGTTAGCATTTCATGGTTATTATTTGTTATTTACCTTAATTGTTGTATGATACTGTGTTTGGCAAGCAGACCTATTCTTATGGCACCCAAATTTGGTTTGGAAGATGGATCTCACTCAAATTTTGACGCCACTCTTGTACTGGCAACAATGTTAATATCTCAGCTTCATGAAGGTGCTCCCTCAGAACCTCCAGTGGGGGCCACCAACACACACACTCATAATGAAGAAAGAAATGCATCTCACGTGCAGCAAGATAACTGCAGAACAAATGTGTCAGAGCTTCCATCTGACCACACCCGTATTTGGTCAGACCTCTCGGGTAATTTTAATATTGAGTTGGATAATTTTGTATTCATCAAAATTCTCACTAGCTTTTCCGTTTTGCAGCAAGTGCATTTAAAAGTGCTAGTGCTTTGGAAGAACGCCAGGCACAAGGAGAAACAATTTTGAATGATAATGGGCAAAGAGAAATTCAAAGGATTAGCACAATGCAAATTTCAAGAGTAACACCGGTTGCAGGAAATAATCCCATTGATTCCAATTTGTATCCTTGGTGCTATTGTTTGCCCCAATGTGTTAGCATTTCTATCACGATTTACTGTCCCCAACGATGCTGTGGCTGTAAATATTATAATTGTTTACTGTTACCTGGTTGAATTCTCAGAGAGCAGTTACAAAGTATGGGATGCTCAAACCAGGCTCTAGGAATGAAGCCTTTTATTTGGATTTTAGACTTATTTGCATGTTTGAATCCCTTTCATTTAAAGCAAGTATTATCTGCATTCTTCTCACTAAACTGTTAGTTTCTACCTTGACTGGTATTTAAGCTTCCAACCAACTGAAAAGGGTCTTCAACAAGAGCCTCAAGGTTGGTTAATTTGGTTTTGTTAACGAGCTTACCAAATTCAGTTGTAGTTTTGTCAGCAACTAATATCATTAGTACATTTATCCAGATGTGCTACGAGATAATGATCAAGCAATTTCACAACATCACCGCAGTAATTGGGTAGATGCTGAAGAGGATGATGAAGACGAACAAGATGAAAATGAACAGTGCATTCAGTCAACACCACCATACTATGAAGAACATTAGTTCAGAGAAATTTACTGAAATGGTTCTCCTTTATCTTGGTATGGCGATTCTCTGAAGTTGCTTTGTCTCTTAAAGTTTTTTCTAATTGATCCAGTAACCCATCATTTAAAATGATTGAATATCCCAATATTGCTGTTTTTCTTGTACGTATTATATTATTAAATCTGCCAGTTAGAAACACCGATTCTTATCTTCTGCAGCCATTTCTTTATGCATATAAATACAAAATTTGGTGTCCTTGTATCATATACACCTTCCCGTATTTAATCACCATTGATGACAAAGTACAATCACTTGATTTGTACTCGAAAGGTATAATTTGTAACTTATAATTAGTCTACCTTGTTAGCTCCCCTTAGGACATAGGGATACAGAGTATGTTCTTACATCAGTTACATGCATGATGATGCATCTGTTCTCCTATTTGTTTGTTCTTGAGTCCCCTATGTACCCCGGAACTCTTGCACTAATCTATGGACGATGATGATTGCATGGTAAAGGGCTCATTGATCCAAGTCATTGACCGTTGTATAACACCTGATGATGTATAAAGCAATTTAAAGAAACATGATATGATTCAGAAAAGGTAAATATTGTGATCCGACAATGACGACACTGTCGGGAAATTAGATGAATCTGATGTCTAATTTTAACTTGCTATTAAATGGACAAAACCAATGGTATGAGTTCCTTTCATCATGGACAGACTGATTAACTGTATAAATCTACTATTCATACCAGGTGCTTAACATCTAGAACATCAAAGTACTCACCGTTGAAATTTAGGATCTACTTTCTTCTCAATAGTAGTATCTTCTCTTATATCATTTATCTCAAATTTTATTTGTATCAAATGTTATTGCTCTACATTTTTTTTAGCAATAAAAATATTATTGCTTAAAATTAGTCAATCTTTGAATTTAAATTTTAGATTTTGAATTTCAATACATCATATCAAATCAATGGCATAGAAATGATGTGTCTTGGTTCAAATAATTTATGTCAATGATTTCTTCCTCGATTTAAAGTGTTTTCTGTTTAATTTATTTTTATCTAGTAAAATGAGATCTATATTCATTGAATTTCATCATTGTTTAACAATGATATTTTTATATTCCTTTTTACTTATATTTTTAAATTTTACTTGAATTTAGATATCCACGTACTGTTCTAGTCCTTGGATTTAGAAATTCATTTCAACTATGTGACTTGACGTCCTTATTTGTATATATTTTTTGAAGATGTATAGCATATTTCAACAACACTTATTTGGTTGCAAGATTGGGATTATTAGTCCAACTGAAAAGTATTTATGCGTATATTTCGGCATTGTTTTTCTCGACCACCTCCCCCCATGATGCTTTATGTATATGGTACATGCTGCGTACGTGATCTGGTATGTGTATGTTGATTATTAAAGTCTTAATCGGATGTGTAGATACTAGATAAACCTTTATAATTTTTATAACCATCATGATTGCTGGTGCCGGGTAGTGGGTGCCTCATTGAATTAAAAGGAGCTCCGAAGCATTGTTCCTCTATAAACCAGTTTGAAGTTAATCTATGGCCAATTGATCTAGTTGCTAAGAGTGGAGTCTGATTTGGGCTTATGTTCGGGTCAAGAAAATTTATTTAACCTGTTAACCGCAGTGGTCAGAGTGAAATACACAGCCTTAGCCCTCAAAATGCAAAGCACGTCTACTAAACACGGGGTTAGACTAATAACCTGATCTGTTATGATTCGTTTGTATGTAGCTGCAGCCGGAAAAACTAATTTTTTAACTTCTCTCTTAATTCTGATTTCGTTAAACAAAAAACAAATAAAAATTTGTTTGATTTTTGGCAAAAATGGGGTACATGTAGAGCTTCCTTTAAGTCCGAGAAATAGAACGGACTGAGAAAGATAAAAATACTGGCAATAATGTCAAAGTAACGCTTTGTGGCCCACTACTAGTAATTTTAATACAAATAGCAATTAGATAATAATATGCCGGCTCTAATCATATATTATGCCCTATTAGATTTGGAAGTGTATACAGGCGGGATAACAGTACTAATGATTTAGTCTTCAATCAAAGAAGCATACGTGGTAACACGGCTGAATAAAAGGAACTAAATTTTATGCAACACGGCCCACGAGAAATTCATGCGTTGAGTTTAGCTTTCAGAGGGGAGAAAAAAAAAACGGATAAACGAAAAGAACGGAACTGGAATATAATACTGGCATTCTATAATTCGAAAAATATTTTTTCAATTGTCATGTCTCATCTTTCCCAGCTAGTTTGGTTGACTATTTGAAGGCGAGAGGGTTTAGACCACTCAACAGAACCTTTAAACTTATCCAGAAGGTAGTAGCAGTTGGTATGTTATATTATATTTGAATATTAAGAGATTTCCTGCAAGTTTAGTTGGGGAATTTTCGACTAATCGGACTCGTTCAACGGTTTATACCAAATTCCTGCAAATCGCTGATTTGATTTCGTCTTTTGGATTCAAATATTCCTTTGACTTTTTATGTCTCATATAATCATATTGAATAAAACACAGTTAATTAAAAAGAAAAATTACAACTTTTTCTTTCTTTATTTTTAATCTTATATTGACTTGTTAACAATTATTAATTAGCTTATTTTAGTTAGTAATAAGAAACAATAGCCAAGGCCGGTTGATAAAAAGTAGTCAAGGATTTGGAATGAATTCTCATCATTATAATCTTATGTTGACTTAATAGTTATTCTTGAAGTCACTAAAATTTTGTTTCATAGGGAAATATTTTCATGGAAATCTCGTGATGTCTAAAAGGGTAGCTGTAAAATTGTTCAGATTACTTCTTTGTAGTATTTTTTTTTAATTTGTATCTATTGGTACTTGATAGTTTTAATGTGTCATTATGGTTAGGTTTCTGTTCGATAGTGTTTGAAGTATCTTTGTTGAATACTTTTTGGTAACTAGAAGAAAAACTCGAACATGGTTTGAAAAAGATGAATATTTGATGTTTTTATTACCTTTACTACTACATATTACTTTTTGGGTTTAATGATAATGTAAAACAATTTTACTATCATCTAATTATAAATTATTATTTATATAGGTTTGTTGACTTTTATAATGAATATCTTAAAAATTATATCAACAGTGATTTTTGATTGATTGAAAGTGTATCACTATTAAACTTTAGTTTTTTTTTTCTTGTTTCTGAAAAACTGAAAGACTTGCAAGAATTGAAGAAATTGAATTACTATATAATATGATATGACATAATTGATAAATAAACATGTGATCAAGATTTAATTTCCAGTTACGTATATGCATAATTTTTTTGTTAATCACTTATTTTTTTTGCTTTGTATAATAAATTTGATTTTTTTATTAATATACTATAAGATTTATAGTAATTCACTTATAAAGTGTTCATTCAATATTGAACTAGATCTTCTTAATTTTTGATATAATACATTTGAATTTAAAATATCTTATAAGTTATCTGATTTTTCTTTCTCTAAACTCACATTTAGCAAATTAATTCTGATATATCACCATTGAGTAAAGATATAATTGCTATATTTCAAAAAGTAAATTAAATTAAAGCTTCTTAATTTTTTTGTCAAAAAATATCTCAAAAAAATTGTCAATTTTTTTTTTATGTTGCTTTCTTTTTTACTTCTACACTAACAATTAATTTTTAATTGTCTGAGGTACATTACATTAATATTTTTTATACATTACATTGACGCTCGCTATTATTTTAGAAATACATTATACATTTATATCATGTAGTCCTATAAGTAGGGTTGCTATAAAATTGTTATAAAAAAAACTTGAGGGAATATTAGCAAATTTGCTTAATTTCAAATGTTGATTAAAACCTTTTAATTATTTGCCTATCAAAATACATTACATTTACATCATAGGAAATCTTACCTATCATTCAATAAATAACATGTTTTGTTTTCCTTCTTAAGTTGCAAGTGACCCGTTGAGGTTTTGTGATTGATTCGTTATTTACTCCTTGTATTTTATAACAAGTGATGTATAAAATAAAAAGCTATTAATAAATAGTATTTTAATTTTTAATATAATATTAATTATATCTCTCGCTTATATATACTCTAATTAATAGTATTTATTAAAAGTTGTGTTGTTTCCAACAAATAAAATCAATAATAAGATTAATTTATAAAATATTTATTTATTTATTATTAATTTTATATGTATAAAAAAAATTAAGACGGCATTTATTATATAACAATGGTAGTATAAATTAATGTCATCAACAAAAACATAGCGTTTTATTAACACATATATGGAGCAACTTAAATGTCAGTCCTTATAGTTTTGGAAATTTTTCTATAATTTAATAAATTGAAAGATTAGATTAATAATGCTTACAATCTCAAGAAATAAAATGGTAATTTGTTGGATTAAATCACTTGAATAAAATGATCAGTTAGCATTTGTATGATAACAACCATAGTTTGAATGTAATCGAAAAGGAACAAAAATATAAGATTGATGGTGACATAGGAGAGCGTCTGAAAGTGGCGTCCATGTTCAGTGAACGAATGAAAGCGTAGTGATTAAAAAACATAAAGATGAAGAGATTTGCGTCCTTTCTTAGTTGGTTGGATGTTTCACTGAAATATAAAAACCATTGATTATTGACCAAACAAAAAAAACATTACTTATTTTATTGATTTCATGATATGGCAGCTGGAGCCTGGAAGCTCTGGAACGCGTAAACACCGTCAGCCGAGAGAGGGTATCGCGGTCCCAACGACCCTCCTCTTTGTCTTGTTGCACCTCTCATTTTTCTTTTTCTTTTTTTCTTCAAAACCATTCCTACTATTTTTATTACATGCATTGTGTTTAATTAAGGAGGAAAATAAATATTAATAATATTTTATTTAGTTAAAAAATAGTAAAGACAAAATATTTTATCTCTTTCTAACTTGTATTTTATTTTTCTCTCAATTCATACAATCACAAGGCAATGGTTTTGGGGTTAGAGAGCTTCATATTAGTCAATAATAACAGCAAGAATGAAAGATGGGATTAGGTAATTTTTAAGGATATTTCAAAAATCAATACATATATAAGATATTGCTCATATACAAGGTGGTGATATTTACTTTTTTTTTTGTAATATTGTTTCTAAATAAAACGAAACAAGTTTTATGTATATCTCCTTATGTATAGTTGACTAGACCAAAGACATTATTCAATTAAACGGTCTTTATTTTCAAAATGCATGTGGGGTAAACACTTGGCCTTGGGTGACACAATTGACATATAGGAATTATTTTTAAAGTTTTGAATTCGACTTACCCCAACCTAATTTAAATATTAAATAAATAAAAATTGGGTTCATTTCTGTAATGAGTTGAATCACCAAAAAAATTCAATTCAATTAGAAAGAATAACAAAAAAAAAACGATTAAGATGAATAAGATAGAAAACATCTGATAGATAATCTGTCAAAAATTAATATTACTAACGAATTAATCTTTCAATAAAACACACTATATATTTTCTAACGATAATATCTGTGAGTAAGTATTGACAGATAAATCTATACGTAATTACCATACTTCATTTTCTATATCACCAATGAATTATCCATGCTGTGACAAATAATATCTTTCCAAGAATTCAAATTCTTTCCGCTCATATATTAACAAATGTCTAAATTACAGACATTCTTGTGTGTCACCGAAATATTAGAGAAATACAAATCAATGGAATTTAGCATGAAGCTTCCAATCCTTGGCATGGATCACCAAAGGATAAAGCTATTTTATAGTGGATCTACAGCGTGGGTTGTACTGATGCCAAATTCTTCTACTCAAATGCATTAGGAAGTTATATGAAACCACATATCTTAAAAAAAAAGTTATTATTTTAGTAAAATTAGCTTGTAAAATAGATATTGTTCTCTATTTATATTGATTTTCAACACTTTTTGCCGCTGAGAAACTCAACAAACTAGTCAATTACTCAATTTTTGTACTGTGCACAATTATGGTATGCTTTACATTTCTGAGTGATGTTATTATACCTGTGACTGAATTTCAGATACCACCGTACTACTAGAGAGGGAAAAGTAGGTCAGAGTGGTATGTGGTCGTTTTTTCTGGTAAACTTTCTGATTCATAAGTGCACCACTGTGGAGCCACCATAGGACAACAATGGCCTGGTTTTTGGTGCCACTTGCAATCAATCCACATTATACCTATACAACTTTCTTCTTTCATGCTTAACTTCTCTCTTCATCTCCACTTCAACCACATAAACGCTTTCAACCAAACGTTATGCTTACAACTTACATTTAAATATGAGGTTATTTGTTATATAAAATAGATAGATAAAACTTCCAAGCCTATTTTCCTCCATCAGGAACCATTTTCCTCTGCCTGGAAATTCCCCAAACAAGCAAAAGACAAGGACAAGTATAATAAAAAAAATAATAACAAAAGTAAAAGGTTTGATATGAACCAAATCTTAATTAAATACTTACCAAGTTGGCACCGAAAAGGGAAAAGATATTGAAATCCATTACATATTTTTCCATTCTATGCTAACTATATAATATTTGTAACTTTATCAAAAGCAAAAGACAGCCTAAGATAATTAAAAGTCTAAGACATTCTATGCTAACCATTATCACTTCTATCAATTAATGTTAATATAATTATAATTAATTAGAAGTCTGTTTGAATGAGTTTCTTTTTTCTAAATTTTGTTATACATGTAATGAATGCATTATTCATCTTTAATGACACTGTATACAGAAAATGAGGTACAGGGACATAGAGCATAAAAGATAAATAGCATAAACATTATGAGAATTGCAAGAGACGAAACCAGACATGCCAATTCATGTTTTTATCTCAATAAATCTAACTTAAAATATGTTTTTGAAATGTAAATAGTCCAATATTATTCTAAGAATTCTAATTTATAGATGCGTGAATGTATGAAAAGATTGCGTGCTTTGATTATTGGAACATTGGACCAAACTTGAGAGTGGACTTGAAATCCCCCTTTCCTTGCTAAAGTCGATTTGTTAAACATGAGTTACATTTTGTCTACAAACAATAAAAACATATTTTTAAGAAATATAGTAATGATTGTATGAATTGTGTTATCATTTATTTTTCAGAATGTTTTGAGAATTTTTTATTGCCAGAGTTAATACAATATTTTTTTATGATGAATTAGTATCCACAGGTTAACCAATAAATTGAACTATCTTTATTGCACATCTCAAATGGAAACAATTTTTTGACTTGACTCTGTTCCCACCCTCTCCTCATCGCTACACTTGTATTATTCAATTATTAATTAGTTATTCTCTTCGCTTTCCGTCTTTTATATATCTAAATCCTTACGTTAGAAACTTAGCTGTTATCCATCATTGAACTATGGGGAACAAGTTTTCAATACTTGATCTCTATCAAGGAAAAATCTTACGTGTAATTCATTAAAGAAAAATAAAAATAGACATTCTTAAAAATCGGATGTAAAGGAGAATAATTCATAACATTGATTTGAAAGTAGGAGTAGCAGGTGAATATAAAACTAATACATACATCATATACACAACATGGTTGCGGTTAGAAATACCTGTTTTATATGTGCATATGATGCTTAACTACTACATGTAAGTGGAACTTTTCTTTTTATCATATGTTTTTACAAATATATTTGTTGGATTTACTTTTAGATAAAGATAATCATGATTTGATAAAACTAGAGTTTAATATATACGTGTACATTGTTAATGTAAAACACTATTAGCTAATTAAAAGTTATTATTTATATAAATTTTAAAATAATTGCTATAAAACCAACAAATGTATTGTACAATGAATAATTATTATTTATGTTGTCTGTTTGTGATTTATACTGTCATTTGAAAAAAAAAATATTATTAATGCACCACACGTATATTCTTTACCTTCCTCCCACTCCGGCCATGTCTTTCATCAAACATTTTATGAAAGGTATCATGCATCCATTAAGAATAAATTTGTGAAATTGGATCATATTTTCTGTCTTCTACTAGTATTCTGTAAATAGTTTCAATGGAGAAAAAATTATCATTTATAGTTACTGTTTTTTGTTACTAAGTTGTTAATGAAATGTTTTTAATCAAATAAAAAATCCCAAGAAGTTCATGATGGATTACAAAATGTAATGATTAGCAATTACGAAACAACAAATATTCCGCTAATGGTTATATAAATACCCCAATACTTTTTTAGGAAAAGTTATGCTTTAACCCTGATATTAAAATTTAAAATAAAAAAAAATATATTTTGTTATAATATATATTATTTATTAAAAATCTAAAATATTTAATGGTGAATTAATTTAAATTTGTAGAATATTTAAGATTTAAAAAATGATTTTGTTATAGGAGTGGCATGAATGTAAATAAAGGGGAAAGGGGTGTCATTGTGGAAAGCGAGGGTGTTTTAAACTGGTCGCTGATAACGGTGCCGTTACTCTGCAAAACGAAAGCGAGAAAGGCATTGCGATTGCGAGAGGTTCCACGTTGAAGAAAGAAAGAGAAGAGAAGAGAAGAAAAGAAAAACAACCTCAAAGAAACATCAATGGCAAAGACAAAGAGAAACTCGTGTGGGTGGCTGTTCCTGGCGATTTGTGCGACGCTGTTGCTTGTGTCTTGGTCGGCGACAGCGGACGCAGGAGCAGTGGGGATGGAAATGACATGGATGCCCTCCATGGAAGATGAGTTCCAGTTGGACAGCGAGATCAACCGCCGCATCTTAGCCACCACAAAGTACATAAGCTACGGTGCGCTGCAGAGGAACACTGTCCCATGTTCTCGCCGCGGTGCCTCCTACTACAATTGCCAACCTGGCGCTCAGGCCAACCCTTACTCTCGTGGCTGCACTGCCATTACCAGGTGCAGAAGCTAAATTATTATTATTATTATTATTATATTATTATATTATTATTAGTAGTATCCTTTTTCTTTTCTTTTTTCTATTTTCTTTTCATATTTGTGTTTCATTGTATACATCATCATGATTGAATGTTTTTACGTATTATTGCCCTGTTGCCCATAAATAATTATTCAATGTCACTCATTCATCTTCCTTTTCTGCTTTGCTTTTTTATTTAATGGCTATTGGCGCTACTCTAAGCATGATGCTTTAATTACTTTCCACGCTTGCCTATGTAGAGTTGTTGTAAATTGACGTTCCAAATTTAATTTTACCAGGACATGTGTTTCATGAAATCTCTATGCTTGCAAATTTCATTACAATTCAATTTATTGCGATGAAGTTCTAGTCCTCATCATCTCTGATGGAATTATTGCTTATCGTTATTTGGTGCTTTTTTATTTTATTACACACCACACACGTCAGGTCTTTCTTAAGAGTGATGCCAAAACAAACACCAAAGATACAATTTTTTGTATAATCTATAGATTCATGGCAAAAGGCCAAGTTGCCGGCAGAAGAGTTTTTCTGTTTTTGTATAATGTATATATAATTTCTCACCATTTACATATTTTTTTTATGGTTGGGTTGTTAACATGGGTACCATCACATTCTATGTTCTAACACTGTCTAAATTGAAGGTAAGAGTGGTCCCTTTGCCAAAACCCATAGGTTTATACACCTAGGACCCACAAATTATTTTTTACCAAAAAAAATAAAAAAAAACCAAGTATGCAGTTAGATTTTTTTATTGTCTTTCCATGTAGTTAGTTGCTTTTATGAATCATTGAGCCGTGAGATTCCATCTCCATGGAGATTAGGGGACCACGGTTATTAGTGAAGTTCTGACATTGTTAATGTGGAAGGTCAATAATTTGGTGTTTTTCGTTATTCATTGTTCGCATAAATTTCCCAGAAACTAACCAAACCAACCTAACATGTGCTCCGTAGTGAATACGTGATCATGACCGCTACAAATAACATGAGGAGAGTGAACATTTCTTCTGCTCTGTATTTCAAATTGTCCACTATTTAAAAAAAAAAAAAATTAAAATATATTGATTTATGTTTTATATATTAATAATATTACTCTTGTTTTTTGTTTAAAAATTGTTTTTTTTTCTGAAGAAAGTAAAAAAGAAAAAAAAAATTGACATCTAAAAGTAGAAATTTAAAATTCTTCCACCTCCTCTTTAATTTAAATTTTAAAATGTTTTCTGCTACCTTTCTTTTTCTTGAATCTTGAACCACAGGATACGTATCCGAACTCGATGACCGGCCGGGGACACTGACCCTACTAAAGTCTCGTCTGATTTATTAATTAGGTATAAAAATGGACAATTATTTAAAATACAGATGATTATAGGGTAAATTTTATAAAATATAAAATTTGTAATCTATTAAAAGTAATTATAAAGATAAGATTGGACAAAAATTGTGTTCATCAAAAAATTATTATTTTCTTTATTATTGTTTATAAATTATAGATAATCTACTTTTGGTAACATCACAAGTTTTAATATATAATGTGTGATATATTAGTTTTATTATATATTAGAGAGGTTAAGACATTTCTTACTTTTAACAGTTATATAGATAAAATATTAGATGGTTGTAAATAATTATTAAAAATATATGAGAATTTATCTTTTTTTTTTTTAAATATTTAGAATGTATAATAGTCTATTAAAAATAGAAATAAAGAATAATTATATATCTTGATATTTTTTTTTATAATATATATAGATTTTTCACAAAACTTAGTACAGCATTGTCTTTGTATGTAATGGTTAAAAATACTCTATCATAAATAATTTTAATTAGCTTTAAGACAATGTAATTTGCCTTTGTTCGTCATATTCTCTCAACCGACACATGGTAGTCATTTTCTGGTACTCACGCGTTGGAAAGCTGAAAGCTTAAATGTAGACTTCTAGGAACTAGGTCACAACTTCAACTTCTTTGTTTCTTTAATAAAAGAAACTCAAATATAAATGTATTTTATATTTTATACCATTATATAAAAAAAGTATCCTTTTTACTATTTATCTTTTAAGGTAATTTTCATCTTATATCACATACTTCATATAAGTAACTATCCTTTTTATTTTAATTTATTTTAAAAAAAAATAGAGAGAAACAAAATGTCTCTTTTTTCTTTAGTCATTTTTAAAACATATATAAAATATCTAATATTTTCTTTATTCAGTAGTTAAGATTATTGTTCTTATTAAAGGAGCGGTTAGGATATGTTGGATCATTCTACCTAAAATAAGCTGTCATATACTTATAAATTGCCTTGTTAGTGGTCCTTTCAATTCTGAATGTTAAAATAAAAGGTAAATTGATTGATTATATTCAAAAGTTGAAATTATTTAATTCTTTCTTCATTTTCATCAATAATAATTAATTAAAGAGACCACTTTTGATGGGAAGTACTTCTGCGGGTTGTCTTAATTATATTGCAATTTCGTAAATGCGAGAACTAACAAAAAGCAGTCCAGGAACTTCTCCAACCAGAATCGTGCCATTCTAAGGCACTCTTCTCCATTTTATGTTTTATGCATAATGGATGCAACTTTCTTTAAATTACGCACCACAATTCTAAGTTTAACTTCACAATAATGGTTAATAAATATTCCTAACCAGACATCTATTTTTATTATTCATGGAAATCAAAATTAAAAGAGTTGATTATATTTACGGATTTTATTCAAATAACTGACTTAAACTTCATTGATCATAACTCAATGTCTAGATAGTCTAAATCTACGCTTGGAGTTTTTCTTTTTAATGATATTCTTCAAACTTTTAAAACAAAAGATAGATGCGAAGTTTATATACAAAGGTTGTTGATATAAAAATAACCACTCACCATATCGAAGAAAGTCATCGGTCACCTTTACAAAGACGTGTAAAATAGTTATTCCGTAAGAATATGGCGTGACATATATAATTATATATTGTACAGTGTTATAATAAAAAATATTATGAATAATATATTGAATAGAAAAGTATAAAACTGTTTTATTATAAATAAAAACTTGTCTTATTAGTGTCCATATAATTATTTTAACTATTGGTGCACATATATTTATTAATAATATCTAGACATGTTATTGATCGTTCAGAGAATCGCATGAGAATACAAGAAAAGTTGAGGGTGATTTTAGTTGGTAGAAATCAAACTATTACGACGAATAGAGAAGTTTGGTGGTAGCTACTCGTAAGAAGTTTGGCGTTCAAGTCGATGAGAATACAAGGAGAGTGAAAAAAGTAGAAATGTAACCATAAATCTGAATTAACACAAATTGATTTAGTCAGTTAAAGTGTGAAAAAAACTAAAAATGAGGTTAGTTTCAATGCGATACTCAACTTTGCAATTTCTTTTTCATTTTGAGATGTCATTAAATTGAGATTGTAAGATAATAGATTATTTGCATCAACTTTTTCACAACAATAAATCAATTGTTAGCAAAAAAATAACTTTAGCAACAATATTGATAATTGTTAGGATTTTTTTTTTAATGTTAATGCATTTATTGTTATTAAGAAAAGTATTCTATTATGCAAACGATATTAATAATTATAATAAAAAAAAGTGTTTTCTTAAGTTAAAACATTTGTTATTGCTAACGAAAACTATTCTTTTATGCTAATGACATTAACCGTTGCTAAGAAAATGTTGTTTTTTTTTTTTTTTTTTTTTTTTTTTTTTTTTTTTTTTTTTTTTATGTCAACGTTTTCATGTTGATGGAATGAGTGCTAACATAGGAAATTTGAAATAAGATAAAGAATTGTCAAAATCTATTTTTTAAAGTTAACATACTTGTTATTAGAAAAATAAAGTTATCAATAGTTACTCTTCAAGTAATTTGATCATCTTATATATGAAAAAAGGGATTCACTTACTTTAATAATAAGTCTATCTATATTTTATTCTATTTAATAATTAATGTTCAAATTAAATTTTAACCATCAAAACATTAAATAAAATATTTTTGATGAATGTATTAAGTTTGTAAAACTTTTTAAAAATTAATAATTATTTAATATTTCATTTCATTGAGTTAAATTGACGAATAATAATAAAAATATTTTATATTAATTTAAATTAACAAAATGGAATATATTTTTTTTATAAAAAAGTTGTAAACTTAAATCTTACTTTTTGAGTAATTTCCTCTTTATAAATTTTTTTACATAGTCTTATCTTAATTTTAATTACAACACATTACTAATCTATACCAAAATTTATAAGCTTAAAACCTAATCAACCTTTTTTACTTCAATAAACTTAGGAAGGGATATTACAATAATTTATCATTTTTTTAAAAATATAAAAAAACTCACTCATACTCTATTTTCCTCCATTCAAATTTTCTCCTCTTGCATTTTTCAAAGTTACTATTTTCCTTCCAATGAACAACGTGCCACACCATTCTCGACCTTCAACCACCATGTAAATATCATATTCATAAATTTTCTCAAAGCAAAATCACTTATTCCACACTCACTACACTTATGTCACCATGCGTTTCTAAACTTAATTAGATTGAATATTTTGAAATAATTCAAAATTTAGAATATAATCAAACCAATTAGATAAAAATATTGGGATAATCACACAATGTTTTTATCCTAAACAATCAATTTATTTCTCTCCATCATCTTAAATTAGTTTTTATTTTTATTTTTATTTTTATCTTTATACAATTTTAATCGTTAATGCCTCTTGATCATTATTTCTTATTTATATATCTTTAAATTAAATTTATTTTTTAACATAAATTGATACTCATAGCCTTACAACAAAATTTAGATTATTCATTAAAAAATAAAATTATAATTTATATATTTAAAGATATTTATTTACTAATATTTTAATTTATGTAATGGACATAATAAACATGTTTATAATTAAAGATAATACTATTTTTTAATTTTTCACTTTTCTTAAGAATGTGTATTCTTTAACTAAATTATTTATATTTGTTTCAACTATTTTTTAGTTTTATCTTTTTGTTATTTCTAAACTTTCCATTAAATAAAGTAACTCATTTTTTATTATTTTTTTATATGCTACTTTTTAAAAAATAAATATGTAGACGAAGAGATGTCTCGTTTCCACTTAGTTTTATATAACTAAAATTTATAACAAATAAAATAATTTTAATATGCATTATATTTATTAAATTTTTTTAATATAAATATTTCTTTATCATATATAATTTATAAAAAATTATGATAAATAAGTTACGTTGTGACACAAAGTTATTTTTAACTATTAATAGTTTATGAAAAATATAAAAATGAAATTATAAATAAGAAATGAAAAATGACATCTTTGGTATAAAAAATAATAAATGAAAATAATATATCAAAGAAGATAAATATAAATACCAATAGAAGACTAATACAATAGAACAAAACAACCAAACCAGAGCATAGCAGGACACTCACGCAAGCTCATTCATTTTGCTGTTGAAAGATGATAGTTGGAACCATGATGGCTGCGAATGTGCGTGTACCCATGCTCCTTTCTTCACCATCCCCTTCATCAACCAGAAGGGGATGCAGAAATCTCAGAACTTCATGCTCCTTTAATGCCGCCACCTACAAACCCAAAATTCCCATGCCCCCTCTCAACCCTAATGACCCTTTTCTCTCCAAACTCGCTTCCGTCGCTGCTTCTTCCCCCCAAACGCTGCTTAACCCTTCCTCCAACAAAGACATGCCTCCTTATCTCGACATTTTCGACTCCCCCAACCTCATGGCTACCCCCGCTCAAGTATATCTTTCACTTTTTATATACTCTTTGCAATTTTTATTTCCTTCACTTATATGCTTATCTATTCAATCAATTGTTGTTCTTGTTGAATTAGGTTGAAAGGTCTGTTTCTTACAATGAACACCGCCCCAGAAGACCACCACCTGACCTGCCTTCGCTGCTTCTCCATGGGAGAATTATTTACATTGGCATGCCTGTAACTGTTTTCTTCAATTATGCTTTGCTTTCTGTTTTCTTGTATTTGGTGTCATTCTTCTGCCTTTTACCGCGGTGCCCAATTGGATAAATTTCTCTACAAGCATTTCTGGAAGGAAGAAAAATAGAAATAAGCTTTCGGGTAGGCTAAAACTAGTTTATGCACAACTTAAAAACAAGATTTTGGACAAACCAATAGGATAGGATTTTGGCAAATTAGCTTAAGCGGCTTATGGAGAAACTTATTTTATTTTTCTATTTTTCTCTCCAGAAGAATTTTTCAACAAGTTTAACCAAATAAGCCTTTAATGGCTTATGCTGCGGTGCACTAGAGCAATGGCGCTTCCTATTGTTGCCCTTAGTTAATACTTTGCTCTTGTAATTTGTATAACCTGGTGTGACTGTGTTTTTATGTCTCAGTTGGTGCCAGCTGTCACGGAGCTTGTGGTTGCGGAATTGATGTACTTGCAGTATATGGATCCTAAAGAACCAATCTATATTTATATTAATTCCACTGGGACTACGCGAGATGATGGTGAAACGGTAATTTACTTTCGGCGTGGTGTGCTGTTTGAATGAAATGTCTGTAGAGTTGCCTCTGTGCCTCCCTCCCTGGTTACCTTCATGCATTTTGAATTCTTGCGTTCAGGTTGGCATGGAGACAGAAGGTTTTGCTATTTATGATGCAATGATGCAGTTAAAAAATGAGGTTTGTTTCTTTTCATGAAGGATACACTTCGAATGATTATTTATTTGTATCCATTGTTGACCACTGTTGATGATGGTTGTCATTCTTTCTGTTTGTAATTGTTTGTATAAGTTGAGTTTACTTGCTGTACCACAGTTTAAGCTTTATTTGCATATGATCTGGCATTTATGTTAAGGCTTAATCTGAAAAACTTATATAAAAACATTTCTGATGGGCAGCAGGCTAATTTTCTATCTTTTAAGAATTATGCATGATTGTTGTTTCTGAGTTGTGTTTAGCTCTTCACTTACACTTGAATATATCTCTTGTCATGTATTTGACTTTGGTGTCCTGAGCAGATACACACAGTGGCTGTTGGAGCTGCTATAGGTCAAGCCTGTTTGCTACTTTCAGCAGGGACTCCGGGTAGACGCTTTATGATGCCACATGCTAAAGGTACAGTTTGGATTTAACTTTGTGGCTTAGTTCCTATAATTCTGTATATATTGTAATAGACTAATAGCTTGCCATTGATTTTTGTTTCAGCCATGATTCAGCAGCCTCGTGTCCCATCCTCTGGGTTGATGCCTGCAAGTGATGTTCTTATACGCGCAAAGGAGGTTAGTCTACTTTGTTTTTGCTGCATTACTTTTTTCATCATTAGGAACAGCACAATTTTGGTCCCCCTTCCCTCAAATGTTATGGTTGTCTGGCAATTGGCATGTAATACTGCTGCCTAACTATATTTCTTGTCGATCAAAGTTTCACAATAACATTTTATTAATGCTGAAGCTTTTATAATAACTTCCAATTAGAGTTCAAGAGTCTCATATATCCTTTTGACTTTCATACTTTAAATGTAATGTCTTGATGGAATTCCTTGGTTGCAGATATTCCCCCAAGCATTTTAGCAAATTTTCTTTCTTTCTAAACTGGTTCCATAATTAGCTTCTAAACGTGATTTTGAGTGCCTTTTCTAGTTTAAGATCTAGTATTTTATCTTCAGTCACAAATTTTAAATGCAAACTCTCAATGGAATTCCCAGTCACAGATTCATCCATACCCTTGGGAGCAATCATTCATTCTAACTTTTGTGGCCTACTTTATTGTTAGATTAAATGCGAACTTGAATATCTTTTTTTTTTTTTCCCTGTCCCTCTTATCTCCTCTTTTTGTTTTTTATTTTAACCCTAAACAATATCCAATTATGTCATTAAAATCTGTTTCCTTGCATTTTTTTCTCAGGTGATAATTAACAGGGACATTCTGGTTAAACTACTAGCCAAACACACGGGAAATGTGAGTATCATATACAGGTATCTGATGTCATATTTATTCGGGAAAAGTGAGGTGAAATCTCATATTTCTGTTATTTGTTTCTTTTCTAAATTTAAATTACTAGTCAGAGGAAACAGTTGCTAGTGTGATGAAGAGACCTTATTATATGGATTCAACAAAAGCTAAGGAATTTGGGGTCATTGACAAAGTAAGTGCTTATTTACATGGTGTCATGTGTTGTCTTCAGTCTATGCTCTTGAACATGTATTGCTGACCAAACCAATGCTTGAACACTGTTCCTAGATTCTATGGCGTGGCCAGGAAAAAGTTATGGCAGATGTTGCTGCTCCAGAAGACTGGGACAAGGGTGCTGGTATTAAAGTTGTAGATGGATTCTAGTTCCTCTTTTGTGGATACATATCTTGTCAACGTAAGTCAACCATATTTTTTCTCACTCATTTTGCTTTTGTAAAATGTGGAATCTATTAATTGTTTTTTGTGGTGATGCTTCCTCTGTTGTGCGGTGGAATATAAAGGAGTCTGCTTGAGATTCGGGGGTAAGAACTAAGTTGATGATGTGTTCCTGGCTGAAGCTCCTCTGTGACATTGCAGCATATATGGTGGAGTTGGGAAAAATAGAAAACCAACTCTGAGTTGTTTAAATTAAGAAATCAATATGAATTTGGACTAGTTTCTAAACATTTATTTTGCCTAAAGTTTGTTTTTGAAGCATTTTAACTAATTATGTTTAGTTTATCTTCGTGAATCTTTCTTTAAAAGTGTAAATGAAGTGAAAAAGAGGGATTGGAAAAAAATTAAACAGCTTTGCTTCAAATAGGAAACTAGTTAGTTCACAGGCAACTCTATTGAATTTTTCTAGAACTCTTCTGTTTTAAATGCGTTGACTAGTTTAAGATAAACCCTTTTTAACACCTCTAGACGGAACAGTTTGACCACAATGTGATGCGCATTTACTAACATACACTTTTTCCTGGAACATCAAAGATTCAAAGCCACAACGTGATATTCCTGTCTACATGATAAATGGTTCTCTAATTTAGTTTGCTGTGGCATGTTTGTTTCTTCAAAAATGTTAAGAGCAACTTGTTACTTGTTTTTGTGATGTAGGATGCTGTGATTTGAAGTTTTATGATGCTACTTCCTTGCAGGTTACCCTGTTATACGGGCAGGACTTGTTTCCATTGTCTATCTACGGATCCTAGAAATTCCACAGCTATTCACAGCAAACTGACCTGTGGTTATTGTGAGCCGATGTGTCCAGAAGACAGAGGAATTGATAGACATTTTACTTGTAATGACCGAAAAAAGAAAAGAAAAGAAAAAGTCTTTCATCCATGTGGCCATATACAGTGATTGGTTCTGATCATAAGTTATTAGTCATTGAAATGATTTCCTACCACATTTCACATGGTACTGGGATTGACATTTACTATTTACACAATCGAATAGAGTACATGCAATTTTGAAATATTTTTGTTTCTATATCATTCGATCATAGATGAACCAAAAGAAACATCTTTGCAAATCACGAGTCTTAACCTTTAAATTTAGTTTGCGTCGACATTGAAAATAATAAAAATATAGTGTGACATTTCTTTACCGTGTTTTATTTTATTCATAGGAATTGAATATGGTACTAAGGAATTTATAACATTTATCTATTTTTAATTAACTGAGTTACATCCTCTTGATTCTTTAACACTTAAATATTGCTTTTAATTAACTGAGTTAATTTTTTTTTATTCTTTACTGTATTTGAAATTATTAACCTTGAAAAAAATAATTTATTTACTTTTAATTAACTCTTTACTGTAGTTGAAATCATTAACCTTGAAAGATATTTAATTTACAAAAACTTGCGTGTTTCAAATTCATTTAAATTACACAATTTAAGTATTTAAATATTTTATAGTTCATTTTGTCTAAAAATTGTTACCCTAACATTTAATGATTTGTGTCGTAATTATTACACTTGAAATATATTAATTTATTTTGAAGTGGGAGAGTTCTAAACAGTTTTAGGTTAATTTTTGTAACTGCAAATACAATGTATTTTTTTTCTTCGAGAAGGAATCCTCCGTGGAACACCAGAATCCTCCATGAATAGGCGAAAATTTTGAATAATGCAAAACCCATGCAGCACTGTGGAGTAGGTACGGAAATTGTAAGGCCAAAACGGTATTATTTGTGCAGTGTTATTGGGGTTAACTGGAATTACAATGAGTTATCCTTCAATCTCATTCCGCTTCGCACTATTCCTCTCATTTTCTCTAACGGCGTCATTACCGGTCTTTTCGAAGCGTTACACTCCGTCATCTTCGTCTACCCCTAAAGCCACTCCCTCCGACTTGTTGTCTTTGTTGGGTTCCAAAACTCAGTCCTTAGCCGTCAATCCCGTCGTAGCACGCCACCTCAAATCATGCTTCAAATTCCTCGTTCCTTTCTCTCCAACGGACCCTCATCACCGGAAGTTGGGCCTGGGCCTGGGCCTGGGCCCTAGTCGGAGCAAGGACAACGACCTCATTTGGTGGCCGCCGGAGCCCGTCTTGGAGCTGGCGCGTCTCTCCGTCGATTCCGGCGGCGACCCCGCCGCTATTCATCGCCTTCTTGATCCCACCATTATCCCGGTCAGTTTCTTACCCCTTTCTCTTCAGTTACTGTTACTCACACTTACCAATGCGTTCACCGTGATGTTGTGAATTGTGATAGCATAGGTACCTGATGTTGAAGGATCAACAGAAGAACGCTGTGAGCTCACCAGAACTCCCTATGGCAGACGCTTCATTTGTGAGGTTCGCTCAACAATAGAGAGAAAGAGATATATAGATTGATAGAGTACTTATCTTGCATTTCTCTCTCAATCTCAAATTGCAGGAACTCAACCTCTATCTGCAATTTTTGTTTCAACTCATTGTTGATCGAGGTCCATCTGTTGGGTTGGATGTTAAGTTGAACCGCTTTGATCTGTTCCATGGTCACCTTTTCTTAGCGGTAGACTCTGGAAGACTTGGTATCTTGTATGTTTGATTGTTAATAGTATAAATACCTTCTTATCTCTTTTGCGTTCTGTTACAATATGTATATATATACCCCTTCTCCCCTTCTTTGTAACACACACAATAACAATACACATATTTTCATCTCCCTCTTTCTCTCTTCTTCACATGGTATCAAGAGCTTAATCCTCCACCACCACTTTCACTGCCGCTGCCTTCCGGCGAGCCGCTGACGGTTCGTCCCCCAGCCTTCCGGCGAGCCGCCACGATTCGTTCCCAACGCAGCTGGTTCTCCTTCCCAACGCAACCGGTTCTCCTTTATTTTTCCATTTTATTCTTGGATTCCTTTTCTTCGATCTGCAGCTTTACAGCCACCACCAGCTCAAACGGACACCATCACTGGTCTCGCCTTCCCCAGATCGGCCCGACCCTGAAGTCCCGTCTCCATTCGCCGCCGGACGCGCCTCCACGCGCCGCCACGCGCCGGTGAACTAGTGAATCATGAAGTCCAGTCCTCATCCGCGGCCTCCACGCGCCTCCAGGCGCGGGTCCCTCAGCACTACCGATGACGCCGCCTTATGCCGAATTTTTCCAACATCCTTGAAGGGACGAGCATTGAGCTGGTTCACACGGCTCCTGGCCAACTCAATCGACTCTTTCAACACATTGGCATCCCAATTCACCATCCAGTTCGCCACCAGTTGGCCTCACCAGCTGACCTCCCTAGCGTTGGTGAGCATAAGGCAAGAGAAAAAGGAATCTCTTCGGACCCGACTTCCCTTCACCATCTGACAACAGCCTTGAAGTCGGGTCCGTTCACTAATAGCATCTACAAGAAACCCCCATCCGACATGAATGACCTGCGCTGCCGCGCTGATAAATACATGCAGATGGAAGAACTTGCTGAGTTTCATAACCAGGCCAGAGTAGAGGTAACGACCAAGATAGAAAAGCCGGATGAGAGCTCTTGGGCCGAGATACTCTCATTACACTCCGTTGAACACTAGCCGAT